TCCCGCGCCTCGCTCAGCCAGTGAGCGGGAACTGGTCTGTATGTGGGATCCGAACCCTCTGGCGGGAGCGCCGCCGTGCTTCCCAAGCGGCGCACTTATCCAGTGTGCCACCGGGCCAGCCCAAAAGCGGGAGCGCCACCGCGCTTCCCAAGCGGCGCACTTATCCAGTGTGCCACCGGGCCGGCCCAAAAAAGAAGTACTTGGGGGTCCCAGCTCCCTGCAGTCGCTATACCTATTAGCATATTTTGTTTTTGTCTCATGGGGAGCCTTAGAGATGGTATGATTTTTAAGCTTTTTGGTAATAATGTATGACTCCATTTAAGCTAAATGTCTGCCATTATAGAAAAGGCACACCAATTTTAATGCTCTAAGCAGTTTAAGAGTAAAAACCACAACTTCCAAAACAAAACAGGGTTTTTTTAATGTCTTTGCCACATTAATCTCAATTGGTATAGATGGTTGAGAATTGCCTATTAGTAAATTTTTTCTCTTTTGACATTTCCTTTGACAGGTGGTGGAAGATGGATATGAATTTTTTGCTAAGAGACAATTGGTAACCCTATTTTCAGCCCCAAATTACTGTGGGGAGTTTGATAATGCTGGTGGAATGATGAGCGTGGATGAAACTTTGATGTGTTCTTTTCAGGTATGATATAAATATAAATTTATAGCAACTAGAAAATGTAATTAAAACTATTGTCAGAGGGTTTTTCTTGTAGATTTATGATCTTTCCTTGAGCAAATGTTGAAAATCAGTTTAATTCAGAAGTGATTCCCACTTAGACTCATTGGAGAGTTCTATTTTCAGTCACAAAGTTTTCAGCCTTTTTGTTATATATCAAATATGAGGGTTTTAGAGAACCTGAGTATGTCAGTTATCCTTGATTCAGATGTTTAATTGGTGAATTCCTCTATTGGACTGTGGCTTACCTATTAAAAGAATGTAAATGCAATGAACAGTTTAGCGTTTTGTTTTCTTTTGCAAGGTGAATGCGTGGGACAGATACTGGGGAGAGAGAGAGAATTATAAACTCAGATGAAAATAAAGTAAAATATTTACTTACAAAAAAACTTTGTAAATAATCTTAAAGCACCCATTTATGAACAGAGAAACATTTACATTTTAGAGAGGCCAGCTCTAGCTTTAGTGTGCTGCTTACGAGTCATTCTTGTTCACTGACTAAAATAACCTTAATACTTTGTTTTTGCAAAGGTTATTTTATGTCCTTGGTGTGCACACACTGTATTTTCTCCTTTTAAATGTAGTGGGATGTTTCCATCCCTCTTATTCTTTGTTATATTATACTGTTTTCATCAGCTAGTACAATTGATAAATGGCTGACTCCTCATTTATAATTTAGGGATAGTAACCAAGCTTTATCTTTCAACAGTTATCATAGTGGAGTTGGATTAAAATATTCTTTTCACTGAGGCACTGTGATGTTCTGAATAGTTTTAAGAATTACTTCATAAGTCTTTTCTACACATCTTTATTGTAAAATCATGACATTTTCCATCTGTAATGCAGTTTAAAGGTCTATGTACACCCACCAGAATGAATATAATAAAAATGTCAGTAACAGGTATTGGCAAGGATATGGAGAAAGCAGAATCTTTGTGCATTGACTGGTAGGAATATAAAATGGGTAGCTGCTTTGGAAAACAGTCTGGCAGTTTATCAAAAGGTTAAACAAAGAGTTATCATAAGACTCAGCAATTTCACTCCTAGTTATATACCAAAGAGAAATGAAAACATATGTCCACATAAAAACTTGTACGTGAATGTTCATTGCAGCATTCTTTTTGCAATAGCCAAAAAGTGGAAATAGTTCAAATGTCTATCAGCTAATGATTGGGTAAATAAAATTTGGCATATCCATATAATGGAATATTATTCAGCAATAAAAAAGAATAAAGTACATGTGATTTTTTTTTTTTTTTTTTTTTTTTTTTTG